GGCAATGGGACAACCCTGTTGTAACCTACAGCAGCCCAATGCTGCAGTCACAGCCCATGCTGGTGGTGCCCAACCAGCCCCTGGTAAGGTCTGACCATGGCCAGGGGGAAAACCAGCCCTTGGCATGCAGTGGTTCACAGGCTGGATGTTCATCAGAGAAGAGACCTTTACACACTCACCCTGCACCTGGGCCAAGAAGCAGGAAAAAGGAGGAAAGTTGAAGTTAAACCCCCAGGCTCATAAAAATGTGTCTTCACTTCTCTGGTTTGTAACCATGGAGGGATCAGAGCTGGTGCCAGATGCCTGGGAAGAGCCACCCTCAGGCCTGAGGGGCTGGAGCAAGGACAGGAGCCCCCAGCTCCCCAAAACCCAAAGGGCACCTTGGTGGGCTGTCAGAGCCTTCCCCTGAGGACAAGGGGAAAGCAGGAGCTGAAGCCAAAGACTTGTCCTAAAGTGGCAAATACAAACCATAAGCCACATCTAAATATCTTTTTCACTATTGTTTGATCATGCATCGTTTTATGATGGTTTATTATTTATTGGTTTATTGCATTAGTGATGCTCATTAGCCTGTTCTCACATTACAAAAGCCCTTGCAGGATCTCCCTGAGTGATAAATAAACTGCACCACTTCTTTAAAAACCTGTCAGAGGGACATTTCACCCTCCTTGCAGCATCCCCAGCTCCAAGTGTCAGCTCTTCCCCCCCAGCCTGATGTGCCTTTGCCCTGCCAGGGCAGCCCCAGCCAGGGCATAGGGTGACAGGCTCTGCAGGCAGCCCGACCCCCAGCTCAGGAGGAAACACCCCTTCCAGCAGCTTCCAGGCACATGGTCTGCCAGCAAATAACACTCTTCAATCAGCTTTATTTTAGTTGATTTTAAAGATGGAATAAATATGAAAATACAATTTCCTGATATCCAAGTTAAACCTCCCCTGGCACAACTTGAGGCCGGTTCCTCTTGTCCCATCCCTTGTTCCTGGGGAGCAGAGCCCGACCCCCCTGGCTTCGTTAAGTGGCATTAAAAAATCCACACTTCAAAATTCAAAACCAACAGCCAAATGATTAATTAAAAAAAAACAACAAATCAAAAAACAACAATGCCCCATAACCTTATGGTTTGTCACAGAAAAACATGCTACATTTATAGGAATGCAACTATTTCTGCGAGCTCTTGCAGACAGTTACAATTAGGGCAAGTACCCCTGTGGCACAAAGTCAATTAGAGACACAAAGTATCTTCTGATGATGATGTCCAGGTCTGAAATAGCTCCTACACTGACCACCACCCCTGAATCCTGCTGCTGCTCCAGTCCTTGGCTCAGTCACACTGCTAGCACCTAAATGGATATAGATTTTTTTTCTTTCTTTTTTAAGATTATCAAAAGATATCAAGAGCTTTCTATCCTTGTCAAAAGCAACAGCTCCAAAAGTACCTGAAAATAAACCCTGGAAAGTATTTTACTTCAAAAAACTTACATAATCAAAGAATCATTTTGGTTGGAAAAGCTCTTTAAGATCATGGAGTCCACCCATTCCCCCAGCCCTGCCAAGGCCACCCCTGCCCCGTGTCCCTCAGCACCATCTCCAGGGCTTGGAAACCCCTCTAGGGATGGGGACTCCCCCCCTGCCCTGGGCAGCCTGGGCCAGGCCCTGACAACCCTTGCCAGGCAGGAATTGTTCCCCAGATCCAAGTTAAACCTCCCCTGGCACAACTTGAGGCCGTTCCCTCTTGTCCCACCCCTTGTTCCTGGGGAGCAGAGCCCGACCCCCCTGGCTCCAACCTCCTCTCAGCAGCTGCAGAGCCAGCAGGTCTCCCCTCAGCTCCTTGTCTCCAGGCTGGACACCCCCAGCTCCCTCAGCTGCTCCTGCTCACACTTGTGCTCCAGCCCCTTCCCCAGCTCCCCTGCCCTTCCCTGGACACGCTCCAGCCCCTCAAGGCCCTTCTTGTTGTGAGGGGCCCAGAACTGACCCCAGGATTCCAGGTGCAGCCCCACCAGTGCTGAGCACAGGGGGAAATTATTATGGGGGAAACAACCTTCCAGCAGGGTTTCACCTGCCCTCCCTGCACCCCCAGCCAGAGGAGGAATTCCCAGTTGCCAGTGGGGCTGTGGATAATTGGACCAGCAACTTGTCATTGCCCAGGACAAACCACCCCCAGGGCTGCAGCGTTTAACAGCTCATTATTCTGGTCTTTGATGCTGTTTCCCAAATAACACCTCTTTAGCAGCTAAGATGATTCAAACAGCTGATCTAATCCCAGCCCCTGGCAAAGAGGATGGGATTTTGTGAGGCAGCAGCAGTTGGAGCTCCCAGCTGGTTGCCCCAGGGGTGAGGATGATGTTATTCTCTGCATCCCTAAAAAACCCAGCCCATAGGAAAGGCAGGAGGTGGCAGGATGGGGGTGATGGAGGTGGCCCCGGTGCAGGTGCTGGTGGGAGGTGAAGGGACACATCCCTTATTCCCCACTGCCTCCTGGCCAGGGTGGCCAAGGGCTTCCAACCCCCCCTGCAGGCAAGGAACAGGCTCACCTTGGAAAGCCAGGCTCCAGCAGAGAAGTGGAGAAGCCTAAAGCCCAGGTGGGACTTGAACAGTCCCAAACATGACCAAGAGAACAGAGGAGTGACAGAGCAGAGGATGGGATCACTCCTGGTGAAGCAGTGGGGGGAATAGGACAAATCCTTCTTCCTGAGGGGAAAGGGGAACATCACTTCTTTACCCTGTTTCTTTGGGAAATAAATCTCTAAGACTAACCTTCCATGAGGATCTGGAGGTACTTTTAGAAAATATGGTCATGAGAGGAAGAGAAATGTCATTTTGGAGACCTTGCTTGAAGACAGGTGCCACCAGGGACCCAAATACACTTAAGATCTTCACTCAGAGTTTTCAGTGCTTCAAGGAATTAGTGCTTTTCTTGCACCATTCACTGAACAGCAAAATATTTCAGCAAGAAATAAAAAAAAACACCAAAAACTGGTGGAACACTGGCACAAGCAGGGGCCCTCCCAGCTCAGGTTGGTACTTCCCAGTTCCCATGATGGGCTGCAACAGATGAAACACAGGGATGTATCTTAGCTAGGAAGCAGCACTAGCAACCCAGACCTGATCTCACCATGACCATGGCCTGGCTCACCCCAACAGCAGCTTTCAAGACAGGCCATGACACATGGTGGCCTGGGCACAGGGTCCCACCAGCCTGGTTTGGACACTGGGCACATGGAGCCAGATGCCACCACACAGCATGGACACCTTAGGGTTAAGAGTCCCACAGCTGGACTTGGGTGATGAACACACACAAACCAGCAGTGCTATCATGTCAGGTTTCTGTTGTAGGAAGGCAAGACAGATGGCTTGAAAATGTCCTGTGCCTCCTCAGGGCTTCCTGGTGCCACCTGTGCTCTGCTTCACATTGGCCTGAGGAAGCAAAGTGACTTCTCACCACCTCCCACCTCCATTCAGTGCCTTGGAGAGAGGAACCAGGTGATCAAACCCTCCCAATTCTCCATCGATACACAGATGCTCTCCCTTCCACCCCATGTGCTACCAAGACAAAAGAAGATAATCTGCAGTGTTGGTGCTTCTGAACCTCCTAACACCCCTTTGCAGCCCCTTTCCAACACCCCACACAGCAATGACAACAAAGGTGCTTTAGGGAAAATGACTTTATTTTCTTTCCTCTTTAGAAACACTTTTTACAGCTTAAGAAATTAGGTTCTTTATGAAAACAAATCATCCCAGGCTCAGCAGCAGCCCTCACCCTGTGCCACAGGTGCTGGGCATCACTGGCTTGGCCCTTCTCATTGAGGTGGGAGCACCATGAACATCTCCAATTTGTGCTCCAAAGGAGAGCAAACTCAGGCATCCCTGTGTTTTTCTTCCCACCAGCAGCTGACACCCCTGGCTCTCAATTAAAGCTCTTTCTGCAGGGGGTTGGGCCAGGCTCCTCAGCTGAAGGGCAGGGTCAAGCCCCCATGGTGGTGGGACCCAGTGCCCAGGCCACCCTATGGCATGGCCTGTCTTAAAAGTTGCCATCAGGTGGCTTTTCCCAACAGAAAACAAACCACCCCCCTCTCACTTAAAGACAATTTGCCAGCCAGGCTGTGGTACCTCCAAAGAGAACACCCAGGATCTCTGAGAACAACACCTGGAGATAGGTCACTGGACCTGTGCCTGGACATCATGTCTCCCAAGAGCTGGTTTCTTGGCACATGAGTTCTCAGCCAGGTTGTTTTCCATCAGGTGACAATTCCCCCCAGACCAGCAGCCGCACTCTTGGACACACCCAGCAGGAGCCTGAGGGGGCTCTGAAGCACTTTGGGTTGTGTGCCAGGGGGATAAAACTGCTCAGAAAACATTCACTGCCAAACCCATGAAACTGGAAAACATTTGGAGAGATGTCAGAAGATGCAGACAATACTAAGAGTGGTGCTGTGACAGATTATTCCCCAGCTTCAGCTTTTTGGGATCTTCACAGGAATTGTCACCAGTGTTTAAAACACACCAGTCTTTGTTCCTGACCATACCATGGTAACTGCAGCAGGGCCCAGCTCTTAGATCCAGATCCATCTGAAGTTCTACCTCCATAGATCAAATCCAGCTGTGGCCATGGAATTCCCTGGGCACTTCTTATGGATGAGGAGTATTTGGTGCTGAACTGGGTGCTGGGCTCTCCTGGCAGCAGGGACCAGCAGTCCCAGCAATGCTCCCCTCTCCACATCCAGCTCCAAACCCCCTCTGGTGTGGATACCCCAGCCACTGCCTCCCCCCCCACTGCCAGGTAGGACCAACTGCTGGCACCATTTGTGATTTACCTTGAGATGGAGCATTAAAAATACCTTGACCCAAATAGTCCTAAATACAGGAGGGAAGGGTTAAATAAAGGCTTTGCCCTCCTCAACATCAAACATCATAAAAATCTAGGTGTAGAGACTCAAACCTGGTGTGAGCCTGGAGACTGAAACCTCAGCAGTCAGGCAGGAGGTGGGTGAGCCCCAATCTCACCTCAGCACCCAGAGATGTCCCTGGCTTTGTTCCTCCGCTGGTATCTTACATCCAAGGGATCAAATCCCCTTTCTCTGGACCCAAAGAGGGCCCAAGGAGGAGTTCTGGCTGCATAATCAGTCGCTGTGAAGCTCCGGGTCCTGCCGCTGCCCTCGCGCTCCCGCACCAGCTCCTGGAACCGCTCGTAGTCGATCCAGGTGCACCACTCACCATCCACCTTGAACTGGAAGGGAAAGGAACATGTTCCTGAGCCAGGGAGCAATGGGGAGGAGGAAATACCACCTTTTTGCTAAGCCGAGCTGGGTGTGTATTAAAGCAGTTGGCCAGCTGTAGTCTTTTCTAGCCCCATGAAGGTCCAGGGCTACGAGGATGATGAAGGGACTGGAACACCTGCCTGAGGAGGAAAGGCTGAGAGACCTGGGGCTGTTCAGTCTGCAGAGGAGAAGCCTGAGGGGGGATCTAATGAATGTCTATCAATACATGAGGGCAGCAAGAAGGCAGGACAAGCTTCTGTCACTTGTGCCCTGGGACAGGACGAGGGGCAACAGGCTCAAACTGGAGCCCAGGAAGTTCCACCTCAACATGAGGAAGAACTTCTTTGCTGTGAGGGTGACAGAGCCCTGGGACAGGCTGCCCAGAGAGGCTGTGGAGTCTCCTTCTCTGGAGACTTTCCAGACCTGCCTGGATGCCTTTCTGAGTGACCTGCCCTGGTTTTGGTCCTGCTCTGGCAGGGGGGTTGGACTCAATGATATCCAGAGGTCCTTTTTAACCCCTGACATTCTGTGCTCCTGTAGGTAAAGGCTCTAGAAGCTCATGTAGGAGAACTGCTCTGATAGGAAAAAAAAGAAAAAAAGAAATTCAAGTAGAAAAATACCCCAAACTTACTGTTCTGCACCACATTGCACCCACGAGGCTTAACAACACACACAGATATAGGATGGACATGTTACTTACAGCTTTAGTGATTTAGAACTGTCTGCCAGCAGAAAATCTTCTTGAGAGGCTGAGTGTCAGGTGCTTTGCTGGGCCCTTTGAACTACCTGATCCTGCCACAACGTCAGCCCCACCTTGTTGGGGCATCACAGAACGGTCCCAGTTGGAAGGGACCTTAAAGCTCTGCTAGTTCCAACCCCCTGCATGGGCAGGGACACCTCCCACCAGCCCAGGCTGCTCCAAGCCCCATCCAACCTGCCCTTCAACACTGCCAGGGATGGGGCAGCCACAGCTTCCCTGGGCAACCTGGGCCAGAGTCTCGCTGCCCTCATAGCAAAGAATTTTTCTGAAGATCTCATCTAAATAATCCCAAAGCCCAGTTCCCAGACGTGTCTGCTCTTGCCAGTTGTCACCTACACCTGAAAAACCTTGATTTGAGGAACTGAAAGAGCCTTGAAGGAAACATGGACATTTGAGAGTGATACCCAGGTACCCCTTGATGAAGGGACCTTTCCAAGGTTGACCCAGGGCCCCTTTTGGAGCACATGACACTCACCCCAGGGCAGCCACAGCCTGGCAAAATGGTACTGGAGCAACACCAGAGCCACTTGCTGTGGTGACTGGGATGGATTTGGGCAGTTCTTGAAAGGGACAGGAGGGTTATGTTCGGGAGCAGGAGAAGATAAGAAGCTTTAGAAACACGAATCCTCTCGCCATGTGAGAACATGAAGAGCTGCTTATTTTGACAAGCTGGAGCTGCATTTGTCTAGCAGACCAGCTCTGCTAATTTAGCAACAGCCTCAACTGAATCCTCAATTAGGATTTATGTGAGCTAAGAGCTTATTATGCACTTCATCCAAAAAAAAACCACCCCAAAACAGAAGAGAAAACGAATTGACTCCCTGTTTTTTTCACAAACCTAAATGGCTACATATTTAAAATGGCACTTGACTTTGTGCCCAAGAGCTAAAAGCTTTTTTGGTTAGAAAAGCTGCTGACACTTGCAGGATTCTGCAATCAACCATTGCTCATGTTGATCTATCCCTGCCTGTGCAATGCCAGCAGATCCTTGCAGGAATTGTCCCCTGCACAGCATGGAGATGTGGGACTGCAGAGTCAGAACAGGGGGCACAAAGTCCCACCATCAATGAACTCACTCAAAGCTCATTCTCCACACCTGGCAGTGGAGGCCACATTCCACTAAGTTGCCACATCCTCTCCAGCACAAACAGCCACAAGTGAAGTGATACCAAAGGGGACAACATATCACCTGCAAAGAAGCAGGTCCCAAACAGGATTCAGGCTCAGGAGACCTGAACTTCCCTCCCAGTGCACGTGGAGGTGCTTGGTGACAAGTTCACACCACTCCCAAGACTCTCTCCTCCCCCCAGATTTGATTCATTAACACTCAGCTAATCCTCACACCAATTAAGGGGCTAAACCAAACCCCAGGATCCAGCAAAGGCTGTAACACACATGGCACATGGGAGAGCTGCTCCCACCATGGGCACAGAGCACTCCTGACATCAGATGGGGCCCAAGAGACTCAAGGCCAACCAAGAGAAACTGAAAACGTGAGGAACAAAAAAGCCACCCAGACCTGAACTCAGCTGCACAGGTAACTGGATAAAGCCTGTTCCCTTGAAAACCAAGGATGCTCTGATCTCAGGAGAGAAGGGGGACCTTGCAACAAACCCCTGAACCTGAAGTTCAGGGTGGCTCAGGAGCACCAAAGCCCCAGGAGATACTGGTGCCAGCCACCCAGACCAGCTGCAATGAGGGTCTGAACCTCAGCCACCATCCCCAACCTTAGCAGTGGCATAAACATCTGCCTCTCCAGAACCTAGAAGCCAGAAGCTGCAGGAGATAGAACTATTTCTAGATGAAGCCCCACTCAGACCATTGCTGTGTCAAGCCAGTCAATGGTGATGCAGCGGCACCTAGAGCTGGTTTAACTGGCTGGTGGGTAGAACCCACCATCCCATGAAGGGCCAGCATCAATGCTGCTGATTTCAGCATCTGCAGCAGCTTCAACACCCGGGTAAGACTGTGACAGCCCAGCCAAGGGCAGGAGAGGTCTCACACATGGATGAGAGCCTGACATGAGTTTCTGGGACACAATCAGATGGTTTCCCTCCTTTTAGAAGCAAGTTACCTTCCCCCACCCCCATCATGCTGCAGCTGTGTCTCACCACATCAGCTGTTCTTCCATGGGGTTGGTGACCTTTGATGAGGCCAGCAGCAGAGGAAATAAAACCAACCATCTCCCACCACCAGTCCCCAAAAGTGCCCATCACCCAGAGGCAAGTGGCAAAGCTCTGAGGCCACCAGAGGCCACAAAGTGGAGCAGGGGCACAGCCAGCCCAGTGTGCCCAGGCCCATCAGCTCCCAGGTTGTGCTGCCCAGCAAGGTGGGGTGCTGAGAGGCAGCCTGGTGAGTAGCCAGAAGGGACCTCTGCCCTCTCCTCCCCACATTGCTCCCTCACCTTGGCATAAAGCACTCTGAGCCTTCCTGGAGATTAAACCACTCTCCTGTGGGATAAAACCTCTGGGCTTGCCTAAGACATGGGCTTCTCAGCAGCCTCACAGGGTAGTCTGGTAGCAAGGAACCTCTGAAATTACCTAGTCCAACTCCCCTGCTAGAGCAGGAGCCCCTTCAGCAGATCCCAGAGGAACACCTCCAGATGAGTTTGGAATGTCTCCAGAAAAGGAGCTCTGTCATCCTCACAGTAAAGAAGTTATGAACTTCCCTATGTTTATGAAGAACTTCCCTATGTTTAACTTGAACCTCCCCTGCTCCAGTTTGTGCCCATTCCCCCTTGTCCTGTCACTGGACACTGCGGAAGGGAGACCTCAACTCTAGCTAGGTCCCCAAAATGAGATTTTGAGCAACATAATATTGATTCCACCTGAAGGTGCAGCTCCTGGCACCAGGGAGCTATTGCAGCCAGGAGCTGGTTGCTGCAGACTAAGGGGACAATGTACAGAACAGCCAAAGTCCCACCAGAACAACCAAGGGCTGCCTGGGAATCATGACACAAGCAGCTTAAATAATACCCAGTATTTTCAGTGCTGCAGGAGCACAGCTGGACAGCACAGAGCAATGGGAGCAGCCCCTTCAGCCTGGCAGGGAGCCAAGAATTCTGCTGAGGAGTAAAAACCAGACCAACAAGAGGTGGGGGTTGGAACAGCCTCAGTCACCCACGAGATTTACTGGTTGGGTTTGAACAGTTTTGTGATTATTCCATAGATAACAAGAGTTTTAAAAACTCAAAAAAGTTTCACAACAGCCACAGAACAGAGAGAACTGCAGAGAGAGAAGCTTCTCACTGAGAAACCCACCAGCATCCATGAAGGAGAAAAGCCACACTACATATTTCTTACCAACCTATTTGCATAAACACTTATTTTGGGGTAAAAACATATAAAGATATGGAAGACAATACAGTAGGACAATTTACTATATTCTTCCAGACATCTATAACTGCTGATAAATAAACACAGGGTTCGCATCAAGGGTTAAAATATAGAAAAGCAACAGAGATGGTGACACATGAAACACTGACAAATGGAAGTCTGCCAAAAAACAATTAGTTTGTGCTAAAAAATATAATTACATTTCCTTCTGATACAAACACAATAAAATGAGGAGGCTCCTCTTCATCCATTCACTCTGGTCTTTCCTTAGAAAAAAAATTGTCTTTTCAGGGAAAGGACTAAAAAGTATGGGCTGCAGAAGGAAATAAAGCAGAGTGGTGGGGCAAAGCTGCTGTGGCTCCTGGCTGAACAAATTCTGTGTGGAAGGACAGAGTCCATCCCCAATGGGGAGAGGATCCATGGAAACCTGTCTCTGATGAGCTGCATCCCCAAGGAGCAGAGGGAAGACTGGGAGGACACAGCAGAGCTTCAGGTCTGCAACAGCAACTCTTTAATTACTTGAGGACATGAAGGTTAAGCAGTTCAACAAATGGATTCTTCCCCAGGCAGATGCACAGAGTTTAATGGCTACATACAGCAGGTTTTAAAGACCACACAGACCAAAATAATCTATCAGTGGTAAGCAGGGAAAACAGCACGTGCTTCAGGTGCAGGAGGCAGGGGAACTGGGGTGTCACAGGGCAGGGAAGGGACAGCCCATGGCTCCTGCCAGCTTCTAGCTGGGATCTCCAGAACCTGAAAACTTGGCTTGGCCACAGGTTTCAGTCAACACTATGGTTCACATGAAGCATGAGACACTAAAGGAGCATCTCACAGAACCAAGTCTCAGCAACTCAGCTTTCACAAGGCCAGC